CTTATAAAGTAAAAAAACTTTTAGATTAGATCATTTATTTAAATTTCAAAATAATAAGTAAAAAAAATCAAAAAATAAATTAAAAAATGACATCCACCCTGCGTCAATATTACAGTCTATATTCATTTATTTTTATTTTGATGGAATATATTCAAATTATCAGCATCCCTCAATTTTAAATACTCTATATATACTCTTCTTGAGTACTCTATTGCGCCAAACAAAGATATGAGGATCTTCACAAAGCTATCTGCACCACTCTGCCTCCTTTTTGTCTTCCTCTGTCTTAAAACTGCCTTCTCATCCTCTATACATGCTTCTTCCTTCTCAACAACGCATCTCTGCTCTCATGAGGAGGCTCTTGCTTTGCTGCAATTCAAGACATCGTTCTCCATCGATTACACTGTTCCGTATCCTCCTTTATGTGGTTATCCACCTAATTATTCTAAGATTGAGTCATGGAAGGAAGGTATAGACTGTTGTTCCTGGGATGGGGTTAGCTGTGATAATGTCACAGGCCATGTAATTGCCCTTGATCTCAGTTGCAGTTTCCTTTATGGCACCTTTCCTTCCAACAGCACTCTTTTCTTCCTCAGAAACCTGCAGAGCCTCAATCTTGCCTTGAATGATTTTAGGCTTTCCAAGATTCCACCAGAAATCAGTCAGTTTACTAGACTAAAGCATCTTGATGTCTCTTTTTCTCGATTTTCGGGCCAAGTTCCGGGAGAAATTGCTCACCTCCCCAAGTTAGTTTCTCTCAACCTCTCTTGCAATTCTTTTGACTTGATCCTTGAAACAACTACCTTGAGATATCTTGTTCAAAATTTGAGTGAGGTGAGAGAACTTGTGCTTAGTGGAGTGAACATGACATCTGTTAATCCTCGTTTCTTCATGAATCTCTCTTCTTCATTGACTACTCTTGATCTTTTATACACTCTGTTAAGAGGAAACTTTCCAAACAGTATTTTCCGCTTTCCAAATCTCAAAAAATTTTATTTAAGTGGATCTTTTGGAGAGCGAAACCTCACTATTGATCTTCCAAGTTCCAATTGGAGCAGTCCTCTCCAACAGTTGTATTTAGGTTATATGGATTGCGGAAGGCGATTGCCAGAGTCTATAGGAGATCTAAAGTCATTACAGTCTCTGAGTCTTTTTTACTGCAACTTAGAAGGTTCCATTCCAACTTCCATAGGGAACTTATCTGAACTTACCTTTCTTGACCTTTCCAATAATCAGTTTTCTGGTCCCATTCTAGCTTCCATAGGTAACTTAAGGCAACTTACTGGCCTAGACCTCTCTTCTAGCAATTTTAGCGGACAAATCCCACCATCACTTGCAAACCTCACCCAACTTACCTCTCTTGACCTTTCCTATAATCAGTTTTCTAGTCCCATTCCAGCTTCCATAGGTAGCTTAAGGCAACTTACTATCCTATACCTCTATTCTAGCAATCTTAGCGGACAAATCCCACCATCACTTGCAAACCTCACCCAACTTACCTCTCTTGACCTGTACAATAATCAGTTTTCTGGTCCCATTCCAGCTTCCATAGGTAACTTAGGGCAACTTACTAGCCTACACCTCTATTCTAACAATCTTAGCGGACAAATCCCACCATCACTTGCAAACCTCACCCAACTTACCTCTCTTGACCTGTACAATAATCAGTTTTCTGGTCCCATTCCAGCGTCCATAGGTAACTTAAGGCAACTTACTGGGCTATACCTCTATTCTAACAATCTTAGCGGACAAATCCCACCATCACTTGCAAACCTCACCCAACTTACCTCTCTTTACCTGTACAATAATCAGTTTTCTGGTCCCATTCCAGCTTCCATAGGTAACTTAAGGCAACTTACTGGCCTAGACCTCTCTCATAGCAATCTTAGCGAACAAATCCCATCATCACTTGCAAACCTCACCCAACTTACCTCTCTTGACCTTTCTTATAACTTACTTAATGGCACATTGCCACCTTGGATTTTCA